TTTTAAAATTAGACCTATAGGTACATGTATGTTAATGATAAGAAGAACCTATCACCAAATAATTTCTTTTATTATTTAGTATTATTGTAAGGAAATTGGTCAATTAAGGGAATTAAAACAAAGTGACCACTATTAAGAGGCAGCCTCGGGGGGGTCGGTGGAAGGCTGGTTAAACTGTTTAGTTTTCGGCCATTACGACCCGGGTTCGAATCCCGCATTGGACACTTTTTCTGTTAAAAAAAAATGCTCCAATGGCCCCCCGATTCTTGCAAAAGTCCAACCCCACCAGCGAGTGCAAGTAACCAAACGGGGCTCTGGCACATTTGTAAGTGCAAAGTCGAACTGCTTTTCACATGTGTAGACATGTGGTGCGCTTACAGTAAAAAAGCAGTCGCTAACTACCCACCATGATTATCATGGCCTGTACCACGTGTACTAGGGATAAGCAAAAAAAAAAAAAAAAAAGAGGCAGCCTCTTCCTGTGTGTATGGCTGTCCTTTAATTATACGGTTTAAAATTTTTGAAAACTAAAAAAAAAAAATAGCCAAACCGTGGCTATAGTGAACCAAAAGCTCTGTCCCATTGGAGTTCACTATAGAGGGGTTTTACTGTAAATATATTCTCTTTAAGTATTTATCAAAAATAATTTGAAACAGGCTTATAAAACTTCAAAGGTAAAAAAAAAAGTGAAATAATAAAATATATTTTTAAATAAAAAATAATTAATGAAGTTATATTTAAAAAAGGAAAAGTATGAAAGTTGTTTACCTAAAAAGTTAAATGGAACACTATGTATCCATCACATCTTAACCTATATATATGTTTCAAAGGAGAGCTATCTAATGTGAAATAACTTCTAAAGCATTTTGTAAAGATTGATATAAACCCCACCTCCACAATACAGTCCTTTATCCTGAAAGAATGAAGCAGATAAATGGAGCAGATGACAACTGCTGGCTGCCTACCTGCCCGTCCACTGTGATGGCCAGGTTGAGGACACTGCCTCCCTTCTCATAGCAAATAGGTGGGGTGTCGGTCCACCCTCCGTACAGGTCAATCCTCCCCGGGCACAGTGCCTTCACCATCTTCCCTATAGGCATGGTTTGGGGCTTTACTGCTTCTGTTTTTGAAGGAGCATTCTCTGGCTTTGCTTCAGGTTCTGCTGCTTCCTCAGACTTAGACGGGGCAGTGGTCTCTTCAGTGATGGCCTCTGCTGGTTCTGTCTCCTTCGTCTTGGCCTCTGCTGGTTCTGTCTCCTTCGTCTTGGCCTCTGCTGGTTCTGTCTCCTTTGGCTTGGCCTCTCCTGGTTCTGTCTCCTTTGGCTTGGCCTCTGCTGGTTCTGTCTCCTTCATCTTGGCCTCTGCTGGTTTTGTCTCCTTCATCTTGGCCTCTGCTGGTTTTGTCTCCTTTGGCTTGGCCTCTGCTGGTTCTGTCTCCTTCATCTTGGCCTCTGCTGGTTCCGTCTCCTTCATCTTGGCCTCTGCTGGTTCTGTCTCCTTCATCTTGGCCTCTGCTGGTTTTGTCTCCTTTGGCTTGGCCTCTGCTGGTTCTGTCTCCTTCATCTTGGCCTCTGCTGGTTCCGTCTCCTTCATCTTGGCCTCTGCTGGTTCTGTCTCCTTCATCTTGGCCTCTGCTGGTTTTGTCTCCTTCGTCTTGGCCTCTGCTGGTTCAGTCTCCTTCATCTTGGCCTCTGCTGGTTTTGTCTCCTTCATCTTGGCCTCTGCTGGTTCAGTCTCCTTCATCTTGGCCTCTGCTGGTTTTGTCTCCTTAGGCTTGGCCTCTGCTGGTTCTGTTCCCTTCGTCTTGGCTTCCTCTACTGATGAATATTTCCGCTGCTGCTGCTGAGGAGGGAGATGCTGACAACAGATCAATACCAGTCAGCAGTCTCAAGTAGAATTATGTAATGTAAACACATTTCTTCCTAACTTCCATTTACATGGTAGTATCACTGAGCCTCATTTAGTAAAATATTTGTAAAGAGAACTTCCTCTTTAATAAAATACATGATAGTGATGGTTTCTCCTGGATGTCAGGTTGTCTAGTTTACATAGAGATGGCTTTGCTCAGGAAGGTGGTTGCTCATCAGATGGGCTACTTTAACAAACTCCTGAATATAGAGAGTTCTGTTTCCACTCATCCCAAAGCTGCACAAGTAAAAAGGTTAAATAAGAGGAGTGCTAGGACATTGGGAATAAGGATCCTGAGCTTCATGTTGAAAAGACAATTACATAAAACCATATCACAAAATTATATTTAGGATCATAAGAGATATCCTGAAAACCATAGGATAAAGGTACACATATTTCTGGAAGCTGATTTTGTGGTCTTTTACTGATCTTAAATTGCTTGCTTTGTGCAGATGATTTTAAAGATGCTTTAAAAAGCACATATGAGATTTGGTCTCTCACTTATTGCATTGTTTTTTTTTTTGCTTATCCCTAGTACATGTGGTACAGGCCATGATAATCATGGTGGGTAGTTAGCGACTGCTTTTTTACTGTAAGCGCACCACATGTCTACACACGTGAAAGCAGTTCGACTTTGCACTTACAAATGTGCCAGAGCCCCATTTGATTACTTGCACTCGCTGGTGGGGTTGGATTTTTGCAAGAATCGGGGGGCCATTGGAGCATTTTTTTTTTTTTAAACAGAAAAAAGTGTCCAATGCGGGAATCGAACCCAGGTCCTAGTGGTCGAAAACCAAACGGTTTAACCAGCCTTCCACCGACCCCCTGATATATATGATGAATTGATTAGATGAATTGTTAGAAAACTTTCTGTAAATTGATCTATTATCACAATATTCATTATTGCTACACCATATCCTATATGGAGAGAGAAAAAATCACAGAACTTACATAGAAACATCATATAATTTTGGCATTTCTATCCAATTTATGGGGAAATAACTTTATTTGTTGGCGAGATTTATCTTTCTTGAGAAAATATTCTATGACACAATATATTTCCAGGAGTGAATAATTCATCTGATAAGAGGAACAAATACTTCCCGAGCTATCACCTTTGCAAAATCAAAAAGGGCCTCATCCACCAGTTGTCTTTCAATGGAGTTTGTATGTACACACTTAGCCCATACCTTTCTATCTAGAACAGTCTGCCGAATCAGGATGAGAAGAGCCTCCTCATAGTGCCTGGCAGCCCTCATGATTCTATCAGGCTGACTCAACCAGCCCTTGCGGATTTTCTTCAGCTGAAGAAGTCCCTCCTTCACTTTTTGTGCCTGAAAAAAAGTCTGGTGAGCTGAGGAAATATGTCCAAAAATGTGCAAATCAGCACCTCAAGAAGACGAAGTGCAGATGACCAATCCTGGTTTTTCCCTGGTCCACTACGTACTCCTCCCTCGTGGCCTGCCATTAGGGAGAGCAGTTCGGCAATGTAGGCCAGCAGCTGGCATTGCTTCTGGGGCTGCTTGGCTGAAGACAGCTCTGAAACCAACACAAACATGGAAGACTACAAGGTATGCAATATCTTGGACCAAATTGATAATGAAAATCAGAAAAAAGTTTGTCTACCAGGTCTATTAGTATGAAATGCGAAAATGTTCAGTGAATTCAAAAGTTCACCAATTCCATACAACAAAAGATTTTTTATTCAAAGTAATTGCCCTGATTAGCTATACACTCGGACCACCTTTCAGGCAATTTTCGAATTCCTCGTCTGAAAAATTATATTCCTTTTTAGTCGAACCAGTCAAAAGCCATTTTCGGAGTATGTCTGAGTTCGAAAATTCCTGGTTTTTTAGGGCATGTCCTAAAGATGTGAAAAGGTGGTAGTCCGACGGCGCTAAGTCTGGTGAGTACGGCGGGTGGGGTAAGAGTTCCCAGCCCAAGTCTTTTATGTTTTTTTTACCACCGTAGCGTTGTGGGCTGGAACGTTGTCATGCTGCAGTATCAGCTTGTTGTGCTTTTCACGCCATTCCGGTCTTTTTTTATTCAACGCCTCTCTCAAACTGTGCATTTGTTGTTCGTAGCGACTAGTATTGACCGTTTCGCCAGGTTTCAGGAGCTCGAAATATACTACGCCGGTCTGGTCCCACCATACGTAAAGCATTGACTTTTTTCGAAGCGATTGGGCCTAGGCATCTGTTTTGGAAATTGGCCGGGCAGGCCCCACGGCTTATCTGAACACGAGATATCTGAAAAAATATATATACTTTTTTAAATTTGGCCTTGCACCATTTTCTTTAAAGCATCAATTTTTTATTGGAAATCGGTTGAATTTTGCAAAATCTGTATGCTAATCAATCATTTGATTCTTTAAATTTATCTTTATTCTTTAAATACTAAAAGGGTTTAAAATGTCTGAAATTATTTAGTTTTGAGAAGGCATTTTATGCTGGAAAAATGGGAATGTCCAGGACACAGATGACAAATCTCTAAAAAAATTTGCCTGCAACTTTAAAAAAAAAAGGCATAACATACTGTGGTTTTGGGCTTTGAACTTCATCATTACAGGAATAGATTTTTTTAAAAAGAAAACCACAAACTCTCCACAAAAACTCAGCTACACTCTTTTCGTTTTAAAGCCTGTGAGTTGAAAAAAATTTGGCTGTTTCCATTAATAACTTTTAAAATAAACAGGGGGGTCGGTGGAAGGCTGGTTAAACCGTTTGGTTTTCGACCCCTACGACCCGGGTTCGATTCCCGCATTGGACACTTTTTTTCTGTTAAAAAAAAAATATATATATATATATATATAAATGCTCCAATGGCCCCCCGATTCTTGCAAAAGTCCAACCCCACC